AATACAGCAAGTTTGACTGCCTATTAATTTTGACATTTCAATTATACTGCAGATTTTAGATGGAAATGATTCATTTTTAAATGCACCATAAATGAACACAGCTAATAATAATAATTCCTTACACTTATATATCGCTTTTAGCGATTTACAGGCTATGGGCACTCCCTTCCACCACCACCAGTGTGCAGCCTCACCTGGATGATGCGACGGCAGCCATAGTGCACCAGTACACTCACCACACACCAGCTATCAGTGTGGAGAAGAACAGAGTGATGAAGCCAATCGAGAGATGGGGATTATTGGTAGGCCTTGATTGGTAAATCCAATGGGAAATTTGGATGGGGCATCGGGGTAACACCCCTACTCTTTTTGAAAAATGCCCTGGGACTCTTCAAAGAGTCATTAAAAATCTTAGCTTTATAGTTCATCTGAAGGACAACACCTTTTTTACGGTATAGTGTCCCCATCACTATACTGAGGCATTAGGACCTACATAGACTGCAGGGTGAGCGCCCCCTATTGGCCCCACTAACACCTCTTCCAGCAGCAAATTAGTTTGTCTCCCATCCAGGTACGAACCAGGCTCACACCAGTGAACTGACAGCAGTGAGTTGCAGGGGGATATGGCTGCTGGCACCTATACAGTACAACCACTAAAGACTTCAAGATTCATTCACTAAAATAGAACAAAGATTTAAGATTCTGATCACTCATTTGTTGGTGAATTACAGATTAGGCACTATATGTGGTAGAAAATGTAAGAAACTCATTTGTTGTTCTCTTATGAAACATGATTCCAATTCATTGATATTCAGTGGTGGAAAGCTGTAGGTTTCACTCTGTCTGATAAGCATAATGACTTTCAGACTTAATTTGTCTCCAGAGACTCAATTAATCAAGTACGTAGGGCAAAGAGTGTTTTTTAAACATAACAAAAAGCTCAGGGAATCAAACAGGTCAAAATGATGTAAGACATTCTTGTGATTTTAACTCTTTTTTAAAGTAAATGCTTAACCTGTTGGTGAAAATGTGCCAATTCTAAACATGCAACCTTAAAAGACAGACTATACAATAAAATGGAATGATAATCTAAACTACTGTAAAACACTGTCTTCACAATGCCTGGTTACTAACAATCTAAGAGCAAGAAACAAGTGGAGCAAACAGACATTTCATATTTAGAAGGAGAAACTGCTGGGGGGTCTGAACTTTCAGATATTTAAAAGTAATAGATCCTGACAAATGCTTCAGGCCGAAGACCAGATGCACGGTATTGATTCTGGATTTGCACTCTACACCAGGGAAAGTTGCAGTTTTTTATACCACAATAGACTGTAACGTGTAACACAGCCTCTCAACAAGCTGCCGGCTCTCAGTCAAGGACACAGTAGCTCGGGATTTTAAAAAGCATTCAAGCCTCCGTGACCCAGGACTCCGATATTCACAGACAATAACAGACAGACAATTTTTATCTGGTCCAAGGTAAAGTTCACTTAATACTCAATAAATAAATAAAAACGGATTAAATGGATTTTTCAACTTCTTATTGCAATTAAATGCATTGATGAAGAATTATACCTTACCCAAAGCAATCGAAACAGAGGAGGAGACCCATTTCTTCCACCAATGAAGTGCGGTAGGCTAGGCTGACAGCAACATTACAGGAACAGATATTGCTACTATCATTTGCATGCGAACTGGCAGATGTAAGCAATTTCTAGAACAAAACACACTAATGACCTAAACGTGCTTCTGTTGTTGTAATTAGTGATTACCTTGCACTGTGAACAAATTATTCTGCGACTGACTAGAACTCGTACTTCTGTACACTAGCAGTTCAACCGGATTTTATCATGGATACAGATATCGGTGTTATCCATAACACAGCATCAATATTGCACTTCTTATTAGGTTTTCCACTATAACTCAGTATAACGTTGTTTACGCGTACGATTTACTGTTTTACATCCTCATTCAGAAAACGCTGTTAGAAATGATTATTTTTTCCCCCCACCCACATACAGGCTTCCCTCCTCCGAGAAAACCTTTCCACAAACCAGGATAGAAGCTCAAACATGGTATCCGGAAGGCAAACGTCCTCGGTCAGGGTGGTGATTCCCCGAGTATCGTCAAAGGAGAAAAGACAATTCTGTCGATATATTCCCATCCAGGATGATACCAAACAGCCCCCGTAGCCCCTCATCTTTTCAGTGCGTTGGGATTTTGGATTAGTTTGACACACCCCCACACGCTAGCCAGCTGTAGCGTAGGGAGATAGCCGGTGAATATGTTACAATAGGTATCGCATTAGTGCACAATTGGTTTTATGACTCACAGTAAATGCTAGACTACTAATTACGGGTTCTAATGGGCTGTAACAGCGTGAACCCCACAGATCTCCAGGAGACAAAATGGAGGAAAAAGAAGAGCCTTCCACAATCCCGACCATGTGAGTTTCCCCTTATTTCAGCTGGGTGAAGTTCCCACCTCTCCCTGTGACAGCTAGGGCAGACAGGCGGCTGCCCACGACCCGCATAGGTGCCGCTCTTCAGTGGGCGAACTGGGTGCCCCCCTATCAACCTCGGGGATAAGGAGTGCCGTACAAATGGAAGGAATCGCAATTATAGAGAAGCCAAGCACACCATCTGGCCCTTTCAGCTTGACTTCATGAGAGAGACATGATACTGTACATGGCATCTTTCAAGACAGCAGTATACTGTAGCACACTGGGACTTTCATGGGAGGGCTTACGGTTCCACATATCCTGACCACATAAACAGGATATATAGCTCAAGGTCATGTCTGTTATTGATACCAATATTGTCTGTCTGACAGCCTCTCAGCCAGAAATGTATTGTAAATGTACAATATCCCTAAACGGTTTATGAATATTGTACCTTGGCAGTACTTCCACACGACAATCTTTGTAACTTTGATGTTTCCCAAAACTAATTGTGATGTGCACACCCTTCTGGTTCTTTTTATGAATTAGCAGTTTTTCTTCCACAATTAGTGCTTTAAAATCCACAGGGTGTGTACACTTCTTCCAATCTAAACGTTTTGCATTAAATTAGGTCAATTTGAACAGAGCTGTTGGGAGAGGGTTAATATACTAAGAACACATCAGACATCAATGGATATACTATATATAAGCCAGAAAGGGGGCAGAACAGTTGTCTTTAAATCTGCATTTAGGGAGGATGAAGTATGTGAAATCTGAATAATAATTTGGTGTGTTTTCTGGTGTTTATTGGGCAAGCATTAATTTCATTTTTTGCAGGTGGGTCTGTCAGTCACAGCTCAATATTATATGTTCTACATAACCTGTACACAAGTGTGTGACAAGGGTGCCTGGTGTTCAGCACGGTAGCCTGACAACTACACGTGCCTGGGCTTGCATTCAGGCCTCTGGCCTCTGTCTGTGTGGAGATGGCATGTTCTCCATGTGTTTAGTGTCTTACCTGGTGCCATCTGGTGACACCTGGCCATCACATCCAGCCACAGAGACATGCTGGCTAGATGTGATCGGCCATAACGCACTGTGCCTCTCTCTGTAGCCCTACCCTATCCAGAGCAGCTGCATTCTCTCTGCCTGGTTCCTTATGCTACTGAGATGGGTGCTGGCTTACCCCAGCAAACCTGGATTAACCAGGGTAAGCGGACTAGGGGACATACACAGATGCTACAATCATACTGCAGATAATGGGCAGCAAGATTTAAAATGTAACAGTAATACAGCAGCAGAATACTGACTTCTACAGAATATAGCTCTACAGTCTATTACTTTACGGTGTTTGTCCTTTAAGTGTGGTTTATGCTAGGACTGTACTGTCACTGCACTGAGACATCTACAGCACCTGCTTGTAAAATCGCTGAAGTCACGTCGAATAACAATAGTGTGACAAGCTTTGTACTCTGCCTCCTTCTTGTCCTGCAACAAATGAATTGTATTTATCTGTTGAAAAGAATGAAGTGCTAATGATTGCACAACAACCCAATGCCTTTGAATTCAAACTGTCTACCTGCTTATTGTGTCTGTCTGGAGTAGTGTCACTTTAATGTCAAAAAGAGTTACTCAGCAAAAGAAAAAAAGAGGAGAATGTTTATTTGCAGCTGAAGAATAATTTGTAAAGGAAAATCAACCTATGTGTTTACTCTACAAGTAAAGTAAATTAAGTTAGCAATTTCTCTCTCAGTAATGTTATGAAGAAACAAACTTGTTTATATCAGATAAAATACTTTAGCAGGTTATTCCAGCACTGCTTATTTTAAAACACACTCTACATGCCTGAAATATATGTACACTATTAAATTATTTTTTCTAGTGTCAGTTGATTCATGTATCTGGCAGATCAGCCAACTAGTGACCAGCAGCCATGTCACCCTGCATCTCACCCTGCCAGCCCACTGAAGCTCAGCAGGTGTGAGCCTGGTCAGTACCTGGATGGGAGACCTCTTGGGGAAAACTGGGGCCAGCAGGGGGCGCTCACCCTGTGGTCTGTGTGGGTCCTAATGCCCCAGTATAATGATGGGGACACTATACCATTTAAAGTCGTTCAGATGAGACGTAAAACTGAGGTCCAGACTCTCTGTGGTCATTAAAAATCCCAGGGCGTTTCTTGAAAAGAGTAGGGGTTTACCCATCATGGCCTCCTAATAATCCCCATCTCTGAACTGGCTTCATCACTCTGTTCTCCTCCTCACTGAGAGCTGGTGTGTGGGGAGAGTACTGAAACACTATGGCTGCCGTCATCCAGGTGGGGCTGCACATTGGTGGTGGTGGAGGGGAGTCCCCATTACATGTAAAGCGCTTTGAGTGGAGTGTCCAGAAAAGTGATATGTGAATGTAAGGAATTAATCTGAAGTGGTCACGAGTCCAATACAGTTTTACTCAGGCTCTGATATTAAAATCTAGAACCCAGCTACAGTATGTGCTGCTGCTGCAAATTTCTTGTAGAAAGGTTTAGTCTGGATGCAGGCTAAAGACATTAACATAGAAATCAGCTTGAGACACTTTACTTTAATGTTTCACATCAAACAAATAAAGCAGTAAAACACCTTTTAAAATAAGTGGAACCTAAACCAGGCCACCTGCTTACACGAATTCGAATTGAGATTGCATATGGTTGTTTCTTACAAGTTACTGAAACAAAACTGGAAAAAATAAATGGAAAGGTGAAACAATGGAACAAAGATATGGATTTCTTTGTTCCTACTCAGCATGCTACTTTAAAATTCAAGGGCTGCTGGCTAGAGGGGTCCACTGCAAAGACCGCAATATCTCTCTCGTAAGCACTCACAATGGGAAAGACACAAAAACATTTAATAACCCCCAAACATTACTGTGCACAATTCCATCTGCCTGCAGTTTTTTTTTTAAGAAAGTCGTGTCATGAAAAAGGCTAATTGCTTCAGGAAAGTTACTCTTTCAAGTTTCATTTTAGCTGTATTTTCAAAAATCTCCAGTTCCTCTTTCAATTTGCTAACCTAACAGAACCAATTCCCTTTTCAATAAGCAACTATGGAAACTGGAAGAAAATAATATAAAAATATTACAGTGGACTTTTTTTTTTTACAAAAGTTTGGAAAGTATGCCTGCATATACTGATTACTCAGCTGTGACCACTCTCGCATGGAGAAAAAAACACAACAAAGACGTGGAACTGGGGAAGCTAAAACACAACAAGATAAGGCTTGCCATAGTGTTTTTTTATCATTAGGACAGAAACACACAGGTGAAATGAAAATGAATTGCTTTCGTATATTTAGTGGAATTATGTTATGAGTTTTACAGCCCTAAAAGCCAATTGGACCAGCTGAATGGCATGAGGTCAGTTCTTCCAGGGGTGGGGTGTACGATGGGCTGAAACACTACTGGGGTGCTCAGTGCAAGTGAGCTGGCCCTTACTGCAGCACTGTCCACCAGAAGCCCTGCAGCCGCTGGGCTGTGAGCTACGGTATCGCCCGGTGGGGCCTCTTTGGAGGAGGAGGGGGCATGAGCGCGGAGTCCGGGTCGGGGGGGTGCTTGCGGGTCTGTCCTTGGGCTCCCAGAGCACACCTGTCAATGAATTCCAGCAGGATTTCCTTGGTGACCGGATTCTGAATACTTTGGCAAACAGCTGGAAGATATAAACCAAAATACAACAGATATGATTAGCTTCTACTTAAAGTCCCTAGCAAGAACAATTTCATCAAAGTCTTAAATGAACGGTTATTTTTCCCTAATTCTTTGGTAGTTAAAGCAGGGTGCCACACCAGTTTAAAAACCAGAGTAATTAATCCATCACTACATATTATGCAGCAGAATACATCAAAGAGGTACAGTATCTAGTAATGAAGGTTTAAATCATGGTACAAAGGGGTTATTTCTCACCCTTCCTTGAGAAAAGACCCGCGGGTCTTTGTTTGGCAGGTGGGAGTAAACAGGAGTAAACTGGAGCTCCATAACTAGAGAGAACATGCAGGCTCCACACGGAACAATCTTTTGGCTGTACTCTAACCTGGAGACAAAGATCTGTATGGCAGCAGTCCTAACCAGCATTCATCACCACTGAAAGTCCTAACAACAAAACTGTATCTATCTTGAAGCAGTTCAAGCAGGCAGCTGCGTCAGCATGCGTAGGCTGCAAAGGAACAAGTAAAGGTTTATTCCAGATGAAAAGAGAAGGGGAAACAAAGTTTTGGCTGTGGAGCCTTCTTCGTCTGTGGGCGTGTCATACCCGAAGAAGGCTCCATGGCCGAAACGTTGTGTTTCCTTTTCTTCTCTTTCCAGCAGGGAATAAACCTTTACTTGTTCCTCTGTATCTATCCTGGTCAAGCAAAATTTAGAACATGAACTCTAGAAACCACCAATCCACTATCCATCCTTTTCTGGCTGCTTTATCCAGTACAGGATAAGTTGATCCCAGCAAGCAACTGGCACAAGGCAGGGACAGCCTGGACAGGATTGCCAATTCATCACCGGGCACTGGGAGGAAACCAGAGCACCCACAGGAAAATCGCAGGAACATGGGGAGGACACAGACTCCACACAGGCAGCACTGCAGGAACTGACCCCACCATACTGCCCCTCCTGCTTTTATTCGCCAATCCCAATTTCAGATGAAGAAAAAAGAACAGTTACAATCTCTGCGTTATTAAAACTTACAATCACTCAAATGTAAGACTCAAAGACCTCCTTCCGACTTGTGTACAAATGTAATACTTTCCAGACCTTTCTCATCCTTTGTTCAAAGTCAAACAGCATAGGAAAAATGACAAGTCAGGTCTGGAAAGCACTTGATAGTGTTTGCACTTGAACATAAACCTAATGACAAATCATTTTGTGAAGTGAGGTTGTGTACTGGACTTACACTTCGAGGTCACTTAGCTTTTCTTTAGTACAAAGTGGCATTTCTGGAAAGGGAAATTTACTTCAACCCAGAAAAGTGCTTAAAAGGAGACGGTAGTGTAAAAAGCACAATTTCAAAAAAAATAAAATAACAAGCTACAACTGGCCATATCCACTAATTGTCTTGTGACTCTTAAAACCCCTTCCGTCTCTCCTCCTGTCCTGAGACACACGGTGAGTCGCCACCTTCTGGGGCGTGGCCTCAGAACAGCTCGTCTGGGATCACGTCCTCTCTTAGCTGCGCTTAACCTGGTTCCTCAACCCTCCGCGGCCACTCCTCGTTTCCAGCTCCTGCTGCATGTAGCATCCATTATTCGACGTGGCGATTGTACTGCACTTCACTGCACATGATCTACCCTGCTGATGATCTTAGCTGCTTGGCTCTTTGAATTACCTCTCCACAAGATACCCATCCTACTGGGTGTTCTGTTTGCTGTACATTTCTGTACTTGTTCATTGACTCAATGCATTTGTAAGAAGGCCAAGGATGCCCGCTAAGCAGAAATAAATAGGTGTGGAGTTAGTCTGCAGGAGAAACAGGTGTAAAGTGATACTGGAGCTGTGTACTTCACAGATAAGAAACCTTTTATTTCTCACTGACTGACTTCTCAGTGCTATCTTAACATTTTCATGTAGTGTGTTCACTGCTGTGCTGCCCATTTGTTGTTATGCCCGTGGTCACTGTTGCCTGAGATCCGAATGTCGTTTCCTTCTGCAGATATACGAAGCTGAAGATTCAGCGTCAGTGTGTGTGCCATCAAACAAGGACACCTGTTTCCAAGTCTGCGATCTCTTACCCATTGCTGTGTCGTAGGAATTCGGGAAGCTCTTATCTGTTCTCTGCCGCATGAAGACCCAAGTGTTGTTCACAAAGTTGCATTCGATGATTTTGTTGTCGTACTGCTTCAGATCTTTTGTCACCTGTTCAGGAAATATGTAAATTGATTAATACACAGCACTTGCCATTTGAGCACCTCATAGTCTCTACTTTTCTCTAAAAAAGCACTGCAGAGACTGTCACACTGTAAGTACACACAGCTGCAATATTGCTCACAAAAACCATGATCCAAACAGGAGATCTGAGGAAGAAGAAGGGTATTACTGAAACAGCCTTCACAACTCTGCACCCTTGATTTGCACACTACAGATGAGAGAGATGAAATGAGACACAGAGGAGCTTGAGGCGGTGGAAATTCGAAAGGATGACAACACTGCCCAAGCCTCCCCAGCTGGAGAACAAACTAAAGAAAAATGTTGTGTACAAGAATAGACACCTGGAGGGATGTTTCCGAAGGCCGTAACTGCCCACATCTCTCATGTGCTAAAATGGCATACAGTCTTGCAAACGTTTTCAGACCCTTGCATAGTTTTCACATTTTTCCTATTTAAAGCTTGCAGTCATTGGGGGCACAAAACTACCTTAATGAGAGAACAATCAGTTGAGAGGCCCCCTGTCTGTTTCCAGTAATAGTGGTTTCCATCATTCCAGAATAAAAACAACTATCTCTGTGTGTTTCCTTCGTCAAGTGGCGAATTTCGAGCAAAGAATCAACCATGAAGATCAAGGAGCTTTTAAACCAAGTCAGGAATAAAGTCATTGAAAAGCACAGATCTGAAGAAAAAAGCAAAAGAAATATCAAAGATTCCCGTTGGCACAGTCTACTCAATCCTCTAGAAATGGAAGATGCATTACACCACCCAGACACTGCCAAGATCAGGCCGTCCCGTCCAAACAAACAGCCAGGCAAGGAGGAAACTGGTGAGGGGGTGGGCACTGCGAGACCACACAGCCACTCAGAAAGAGCTCCAGAGAAACAGGAGCAAACAGGAGCAAAGCACAGGGAAATACTACAGGAAAACCTGTTCCAGTCTGCTAATGGGGGAATCAGAAAGTAAACTTATTCAATGCATAAGGCCCAAGCTACAATGGAGAGGCTTAAGAATGAGAAAATAAATGCTCTTGAGGGTCCCAGTGAATCCCATTGATAATTTATGCAAAGACTTCAGAGGGCTTAATCATGAGAAGAATAAGCAAAAATTATGCCAAATCAGCATGCAGAGTTGGCAGAGGCCTATCCAAAAATACTTGCAGATATAATGGCTGCCAAAGATGCCTCCACCAAATATTGACTTCATGGGTGTGAATACTTATGCAATCAACTTTTTTCAGTTTTGGGGACTCTCCTCCACCACCACCAGTGTGCTGCCCCACCTGGATGATGTGATGGCAGTACTCTCACCACACACCAGCTCTCAGTGGGGAGGAGAGCAGAGTGATGAAGCCAGTTCAGAGATGGGGATTATTAGGAGACCACGACTGGTAAAGGCCAGGGGCAAATTTGGCCAGAATGCCGGGGTAACACCCCTACTGTTTTCAAGAAACGCCCTGGGATTTTTAATGACCACAGCGGGTCAGGACCTCGGTTTTACGTCTTATCCGAAGGACGGCGCCTGTTTACAGTACCGCGTCCCAGTCACTATACTGGGGTATTAGGACCCACACAGAGTGCAGGGTGAGCGCCCCCTACTGGTCCCACTAACACCTCTTCCAGCAGCAGCCTTAGTTTTTTCCCCAGGAGGTCTCCCACCCAGGTACTGACCAGGCTCAAACTGCTGAGCGTCAGTGGGCTGACAGTTGTGGGTTGCAGGATGATATGGCTGCTGACTGCTATTCCACTCCTGTAACTGGTATCCCCTACAGCAGTGGTCCCAGTCCTGGTCTCGGCCAGCAGGTGTGTGGCTCACCAGAACCAGGACTGAGAACCACTGACCTACAGGATGCGATCAAGTCTGTGTAACATCAGGAAATCTGTAATCAAACTGGACACTAATGCGTCTTCATATCGGTACATAGTGCAACGGCAGGAATTCATTATCAGAAATATTCTCCCTAGCGTCGTCATGAGGTTCAGCTCAATAACATTTTCTAGGTGTGCCACTGAAAATAAATGAAATACTGGCCGAATGATTCAGTCAATTAATCAGCATTACGGCACTCTGCACAATGATGTCATGTCGATAACACCTAATAGATCATAAAAGGGCGACATGTCTGCCTTCTGCCCAAAAGTACCCGGACTTTCATCACTTTGGCACAGCCAGCACATTCATTATAGATGTACTTGCATTCCTTTTAGCATTCGCATTACAGGAACTTCAGATTTTTCTGTTCAAAGCAGACCCAAATGCCATCAGTTAATGATGTTAAACACGCTGTAGCCTGAGCATGTCAGACACCTCAAAATTACTTCAAAATGTCATGACAAACATTGCAATAATGCTAATTAAAACAAAGCATTACCAACATTGTTATACTTGTCATACTTTTTCTGTGAAATAATTAAAACAAAATAATAATTATGTCTGATGTCAGATTTATTTTAGAGAAAAGTAAAAGAAGCAGGTTATAAAAAGTACAGGGAGATAAAGCTACATCGAGCCGGTGGACGGGTTTTTATCTGCCGTTTTGTCTGAGAACCCCTGGCCATACCTGTGTTATGCTGGTGTCCTCTGCTAAGACCTACTGATTTGGTGAAACATCAAGAGATCGGTGCAGGTTTTTGCATCAGTTTAGGCATGTAAACGAATCGAGTAAGCAGGTGCGTCATTTTCGCACTGAACAGAAGCCCTATTTTATCGCTCTCAGCAGATGGTTTAGAAGTAAAAACAGGAACCGCACAGCAGGGCAGCTTGGAGAGGGGCAGTGGCCAGTCCAGGAAGGCCGTGCTTGGCTGGCCTGTGTGGCACGACGGAGCTGCCAGGACAGCACTGCGTTTGGCACTTGTGCCTTTGCAACAAACCGAAAGCCTCCCCGCTCCTGGAGAGACAGGCATCTGTGCTGACGAGCCTGAGGTATGCACACTCCTTAAAAGCCAAAACTGCACTGCTGAGAGAGAGAGTAAATATAGAATTTCTCAGTCTTCGCAGGAGAAATTTCACTGAAGCATATGCTGCAATGAGTAGGCTTTAAAACTCCTCATTTTAAAGAATAATCAATGACAAGCAGCAGGAGATATGCAATTGTTCCCACATTGTGGACTAGGTCTTATTTTGACAGCAGGACGCCCAATACATTTTCTCGATGTGATCAATTCTGAAGTCGACATAGGGGTGTTTCACACTTGTTTAACTGACTGAAAGGATGAAATTGGCATGGGACGAAACTGTTAGGAAAACGGTTTTGGGCCTGGGCTCTGTAGCATGGCTGGGGGATCTGAATTCAGACTCTGAACTTCCCCGATTGGGCCTGGAATACCACAAGAGACCGTGCACAACTGGCTGAGGCCCACTGGGCTGGGTGGCTTCAAAGCTGGAAATGGGTCCTTTATAAAATGTGTGTTGCACAGCACTGCTCGAAGGCCCTACCCAGGGCGAGCTTCAGTCCTCTGCCTTGCCCTCACCTCTGCTGCCTGCGCTGTACACTTGCAAGGTGAGAGGGACTCGGCACTTCTGCATGCTTACAGCAGGGTGACACACTCATGAGCTATTCCCGAGGCAGATGTGATCAGAGTGTACTTCATGTGGGCCACTCAAACCATAAATTATTAAAAATTACTAGGTACAACTATTGACGTAGCATTTGTGCTGCTTTGCATTTTTTACAACTACTGTAGATATCCGCATTTAAAATTCAATTAGCAGTCGTGTACTTCACTAGATGTTCCTGTCAATCTGTGAGAGCTGTGATATCGTCATCCAGGAGCACAGTGACTGGACAGAGGCAGAGATCCACAGAGACTGCATGTTTCTGCGAAGCTGCTACAGTAACACCACTCAGAGGGCCTGCTTCCTGTGTGGGGATACAAGGTGAGAACTGAACTCTGGTAGATGGCTCTGTCTGCAAGCGACTAACTCACAGGCCAGACGCACGAGCCTGGCAGTCTGGACCTGGCCCATGCGTGGTGTATTTGACAGCCCTGCCTTAAGAGCGCATGTAAACCGTGCAGTCATACGTTACCTCTGCCAAAAAAAGACAGACGGGTTAATCTTTTCTCTTTAAGGTTTTACTAAGGTCCGGACTTGACTTTAAATTTCAATCAGGGTAGTTTTAATCTGTCCAATAGGTTAGTATTATGATAACACAGTAGAGTCTGAAACTTTAGAATTCAGTTGTCGTTACTGAAGGTGACCTCAGTCTACAAATGCTACATACAGAATACAGAAATACTTCACCTCATTGTTTCTATACAGCTGGATAGATCGAGTTCTCTATGACTTTTGTAACTAATAAGAGCACCAGACTTAAGTCACTCTCTTCAGCACAATTTCTTTAGGTGGACAAAAGCAGTTCTCCCCGAGCACTTCCTGACCATTTTCACATTTAAAAGTTAAAAAAAACTGCTGTCACTAGGAAGAAAATGAAATAAATAACTGAGTTCAATTCCATCAGTCTTCAGTGGAAAAACTGAAAATATTACTGCCAGTGAAGTCACTTTTATTTCATCTTTGACTTAATAATATTCAGTGCAAAGTCCAGAAATGTTTTCCACCGCTTCAGTGCATTTTAATAAGTTTCTCAGATGCATAATGGAGAAATCCTGTGGCATTCTTCATATAATAACCTGCCAGCAGTATACCTGACTAGAATACACACCAGAAGTGCTTCATCTCCACATTTCTATCAGGCTGTTTAATGAAACAGAAACTATACTGTACCCCAATGTGGTTTAAAAAAGCCTTTCATTTCCTTGTATGTTTGCAGCAGATTAAGTGAACTGCATATGTTTAATGTATATCACATTATAGAAATGTTTGTGGGACATATTCACTTGCCAAAAACGGTATTTTGTGGTTGAAATGAGCTTCATAACATCACAACAGTGTTTTTTGCTATTGTAAATGGGTAACTGTGAAACTAAAAATACTTTAAAAGCAACACTCAAACAATGTCATTCACAGTTTCCTCTCAAGCTAACAACAAAGCCTCTTCTTGTCAGACAGTGGAATTTGATACGGGATGATGCATTTACACCATCTTAGTTCATGAAACACATTGCTACAATTTCAGATGAAGCAGGGCAAACAGCATGTTTTTATCTGATCCCATTAGAGTTAATTGTTACAGATTCCCTAATTTGTTTCTAGACTGATGTAAAGGAACTTAATGCCTCTGCGATTAAAGGGATCTTTTATGTGTACAGATTTGAAAGAAAGAGATCAAATAACTCAATAACCAAAGTAAGAATCGTTCTTGTGTGTTTTAGGATAGACAGCTCCCTTTTTAATTGAAGGAGGCCTTTCAGTACTGCAGGCTACTGTTCTGCAGAGACAGAAACCACTGTACCTAACCTAACCAACCAAAAGACTGCCCACATGGCTCAATTAGCAGTCAAGATCTGACAGCCAGGCCGCACATAGCAAACTTCAGTTCAGTATCACTGTGCATTAAATGCATTTTTAAAAACATGTTTTTAAAAAATGTGTTTATAAAATAATTTGTATCACAGATTTATACATATAACACATTATAGAAATTTGTCATAAAGATGTAAGACGTGTTGTATGTTTATAGTGAAGACTGAGAAACCAACTGCTTTTTCAAAGGCATTTTTCAGGGAAGATGGTCTTATCAAAATACTATCTGCTGAACTGGAACAACAGAATACCTATAATCCTCCTGTGAGTAAAATGTTACAACATACTGTACCAAACACAGTAATATTATGAAATATTATGAACCCTGTTTTACTACTGCAAACTCTTAAATGAAGTACTTGTATTTTGTATCAATATAGTGTATTTTAGGATGCCTTTCATGTCAAAGCATCTCAAAATACCTAAAAATTGAAACAAAAAAGAAAACAATTCTACCAGAGGTAAAACAAGATATTATGACACAGATACAAATCCAACATGACGTAGAGTTTATTTGTTTACCCTATGTCACCCTTCATTTCTTTACTGCCTGTCCTTCATAAGTGTTGGGTCAAGCTGTGTGTGATGTCCCTAGATTGCTGTGATCTTGACTATCAAGCTGATCTTGAAAGCTGAATGAGAGGAAAGTGCAGAAGCAAATGGCCTGATCTGATAGTTCTTACACACTTCTGGACTACTGGATTGACTAATGACTGCAGCACATAACACAGACACAACACCAAGAGAGAGTGACACTTACACACATTTAACATGTATAGAGAAAAGCAATTAAAAGCTGGGAAACAGATGGCACAAAAACCCACCTGAAAGACTTCAACCAAGACAGTGTTCATTGAGTTGTTGGTCTTGGCACAATTGTTACATAGAAGCCTAACTATTTTCAAATTTGGAACCAGTGTTTATTCTGTTTTATACCCCTCACAACTTGTGATTCACAACTGTTAGCACTCGGTTGAAAACTATCGTTTTCTCGGCAGAACGAGGACTGGAGCGCACACTCCTACAACACCTGCTGTTTTAGCCACTTGCCATTTGACTCATGGCAAACTCAGTGGCACATCGCTTGCTGATGTCACTGCCAGCTCACAGAGGCCTGAGCCCACTGTGGGGAAAGATGATCACAGCTGGCTAATGGCAAAAAACAGGCATCTAGACCATCAGACTCAACATGCGCTAACTAAACGCCTATGGAGTTTCAGGGTATTTTTTAAAATAAAAAACAAGACAGAACCTCCTAATCTGCCAGGGCGAATACACTACTTTGCAATCATTCACGCACTCAGAGCACAAGGATGAAATGGTTGGGATGATTTAAAAAAACAACAAGAAGACAGGCAAAAAAATCAGGCCACTACTTCACCAAATGGTAGCACAGAAAAGGTTCTTAAATCATTTACTTTCTTTTTAAAACTTGGGCAGGGCACGTGGGTATCACTCTACACATATTTGTAAAGCACTCTACATATAACCTGTTACACTGTAGCAAAGCCCACCATTAAAATATGCATACAGTACGTGAAAAAGAACTGACAGAAATGTGTTACATTTTCTCTGAGAATGAATTTCAGAGATTCACTCAAAAGCAGCAGAATTATAGCACACTGGGAGAATGATACAAAGAACAGACACAGCTGAGGTCTAATACATTAGGTCCCAAGACACTGAATACAGCTCTGAAAAACAGCTGACTGCCAGGTGATCTGTCAGAAATCTCAAGTCTCAAAACCATGATCACTACAATATTTATGCATTTCCCTCGTCACAAAACGCAGAATCTTGACATTTTTTACCACTTAGTCATGAAAAATATGGTTATATCAAAAGAAATCTTGAGAAATCACTCTGTAATCTAGTTTAAATGAAGCAGTGGTACATAGCTACAAAGGAAGAAGTAATGATTTATTCCATGCTGAAAAGAGAAGAAAAGAAACGCAACATTTTGGGCTGTGGAGCCTTCTTCAGGTGTGTCTTTTCTTCTCTTTTCAGCAGGGAATAAACCTTTACTTGTTCCTTTGTAGCCTAGGCATGCCGACGCAGCTCCCTACTTGCACATCGTTGCTGTCATTCTGGGAATACTCCACAAATGAATGGGGTCCCAGTTAAACTCCATGGGACACACACCTATCATCAGACTGGTTTATCTGGCTATGCTCTGGTACCAGCAGATTCCTGTCTCTGTCCCTATTGTGTGGTCACAGACTAAGGAATATTTAGTGGAAATGATACTTTTGAGCAACAAAAACCATCAACATTCTACATGTTGAAAATGTGCTTGATTCACCCCTAAAGATGTTTGTCTGATTTTCGCAATTAAGGGCTAATTTCAGAAAGCACCTCTGTCACATGCCTCTGAAAAAGGAATATAAACTTAGTGTCATGTAATAAAAAGGAACACTTACTCAATTTTCTAAAATTAGCCTCCTGAAAGATTTATATGGCACTTCCAAACTTTGTGCGTGTTGTTTAATCAGGGGAAAAACAATAGAAATTTGGCATGATGGTAATAATTTCAGAATATGAATATGGCCCCAAGTGTGTTCCTCCTGAGATATAAAACATACAAGATAATACGATTTAATACTAAACGGCTGTAATAAAGGAGCTCAAAATGCGAAACATACTCACTTTCTGTCCCCCTGGAAAACTAAACATTTTCTGCTTCTCCTCAGGTGACACTCACTGGCATAAATAGATATGAAATGAACTGTTCTCATATATGTAAAACAGACACACCATGGTACACTGCCTCAGCCTTCCAAGCCAGCACCTCAATCGCTGCTAAATTAACAGTAATTCACATAAGTGCCAGTGGGTATGATGAGGGTGAAACAGTCAGCGTTTTGACCCAGCTCATTTCACTTCCAGTGCCTCGGGATCCATGCGTGAACTCGGCCGCCCGCTGGCTTCCAGTTCATTGCGAGTCACGATGAGGAAGGGAAGCACGCTTTCTGGGTGAAAAAGCCGTGCCCTTTACAACGGCTCAGCTGTCGATATGGGTTTTTCTAATAAGAGTTCTTGAAAAACCAAGGAGAACTCCACATGACCTCCATTTGTAGAATGTGAAACCTGCTAAGTATAATTTAATGAATTTCAAAGAAGAGGTACTCTCCATATCTGCCCTCATTAGGCAGGTACAAGTAACCATATTAAATTACTATACGCAGCGTAAGATACATCGGAAACAGTGAAACATATTACTAATAAGGAAAAAAGAAAGTCAGCATAATGCATAATACTGTATTAAAGAAGACACGATAAGATCTCACAGTGGTTTTCCTGTTGAAGACATTACCAGTATGATGCATGTGGAATAAAGAGCAGTGCAAATCGTTGACTTTATATGCAACTTAACTGACAAAACAGCCTCCAAGAGCAATCTTGAATAATTCTGTTCTAACTAATGGGTGAAAGACCTGGCTAACTAACAATGTGTGCTTACGTCTACAAAGTTCTTTTTTAGCATGACATTGACATTGCTGCAGGCGGCACTGAAGATGGGAATGCATTGTCTGACAAAGCCTCAGTGGTACTGGAGGACTCAAAGACAGGTGACATTCCCAACAGACAGACAGGGAGGGGAACCGTCAAGGTCAGATACTCCTTCTTCGCTGCATGCAATTGATTGCCAGGATGCATAAATAACAGGGAAAGTAAACCATTGTCAGTTCCCCCAGAAGGCATTTAAAAAGTAAAGACAGTCTATGTGAAAACCACCTGATTCCATTCTAACTGGGAAGGCAAACGAGGGTCTTATTTTGCTGGAGCTGATATTCTGTTTTTTTTCTTGAAAGAGCTGGATGAGATCCTCAGATCAATTAGCTACTAAAAGCCAAACGAACCAGATGGGCCAAACTGCCTCCTGTCGTTTGTAACCTTTCTTATTAAATGGATGCAGCATGTCTTTGTTTCTCTTTTAGGGGGGCACTCACATGAATGGCACATAATGTATAAAAGGTTTAGGCCTTGAAACATTTTCCCAAAGAGCTATTCGATTTTATTTCAAGAGAATACAATGAAATGTGTAGCCTTCAACAACAAAAACTCTAACGAGGAAATATTTTACAAAAATGTATTAATATTCTTATGGCAGTGACCTTGAATGATAACATATCATTCTGCTGGTTTATGAGAAAGGAACAGGAATATATAGGCAGGAGAAGGATTCTGACTGTCAGAGTAGGTCTTCCTCAAGAAACAATATGAATCAGTTGAAAGCTGGAAAGTGCAAGGGGACGAAATGAAAAATTCTCAATAAAAGTCTGACAAAATTCTGTCAGTGAAATTCAAAGAATAAATTGATGAACTTGAAATGATGCTATATTCTGTAAAAAAGCATATTCTTATTCCACCCGCAGTTTCCCGATTAAAACGGCCTGCCAGTTTGAAGGTGTGAGCTTGCATGTTTCCAAGGAGGCTCCTGCTTGAACCCCGTCAAACTGCCTCTGAATCACGGAGCTCGGAGATGAAGAAAGAGAGGACTTGCGCTCGGCTGGCGCCCGCAGTCTCACCTTCATTTGTGAAAAGGGTCTGTCATAGCTGCCAACGTACAGCAGTCCAACCGTCTGGGGGAGCAACCTGTTATTAAATAAAAACACATTTTAATTGACGTCATTGGACTTCCTTTGGACATTCTAACACATTTCAAAATCTAAACTGAAATCTTCTTTCTATTAAACCGCTGAAATCTAAAATATGACTTCACATGTCCTGCTAATGATGATTTTTTGCTCTTAGTAGTAGCCAAAACTAATGACTATAAAAGTTTCTACTGTACGAACACTCTTGTGGTACCATTATTTAGTTTAAAAATTACAGTTGGAATTACAGGTGGAAAATTACAGTTCATCTTCACAGAAGTCATTTTACGATAAGCAACAAACAGCAAATATGACATTTTTAATGTGATTACAGCTGTACAATAGAGTCCATTTGTGTGGGTATAACAGCAGGTGTGACCTTCACCGAGTTTCAGACTGGAAAAAGCTTCAGCACCTCATCTGGCCTGAACTGTGCATCGTGGCATGTGTGTGACGAGTCTCTGGTTTAATGAGTGTCGGCCGTGCCAAGCTGTCAGTCTTGCCTGGAGATACACATGGTGCTGCATGATTGTACTGGGACTCCATTGGCTGGAAATGATTTCCCTTAGGGTGCCGGAGCTGCTTTTAATGAGCAAGAAACCCAGAGAGGCCAGGTACAGGCCTGCTGTTGTGAGCCCCATCCTCTCGGGTTCAGTCCCTCAGCACCACTGAGCCGTGCAGCCCAAAGGTGAAGAGAGGATCTTATTAGAATTTCCAGATCGATACCGGTCAGGCCTTCTCATTCATGTCTATTGCAACGGCACAGGGACACTTGAGCAGATCATTTCTTGTGGGGGAGAAGCCAACATCGGTGCCAGTCCGAATTTAAAACCTTCAACGCGATGGTACTGTTTCATACTTATGCAGTGCTTTTGTTTTAACACTCATAAAAACATCAACTACATCTGATGTTCAGAAGGAAAAAGCAAATAAAGGAAATCTGATATTGTGAATCTAAAATGTCACCAAATTACAGCGATCGGTGAGTCATAAATTAACAGTTCTGTCACACTGCAGCTATGCAGCATGACTGTTCTAGGGTATACATGAAGGCTTTGTACTAATTTTACTTTCAAATAATGAAACAAACATCCGTATTTCTTAAAAAAGGCAAAAGATTATTTTAAGGAAACTTTTTTTTTTACATAGATTAATTTGCTTGAAGTTAATAATTTTCAAAGGCAATCAAAGGCGTTTTCTGGGTGCTATAATTGTGTATTACACTGAAGAAAATAAGGGGTTATGGTTCCACACTACAAGTGAGAGACTGGATTGTCCACAAACACACATCTCTTGACATTTTAATAGTTGTGGGTTGTTCTGGATCCAGTGAAGAGAAAAGTGTTCATTCATGCCATGCTTAGTCATATAACAACCCTTTTTATCTCCCCAGAACACTCGGAAGAGCAGTCATTATAGGACTGGTGCAGTACGTAGCACTTCCTACTTAATAATCATGGGGTCCGACAGGAAAGCAAAATGGGATTTCAGCTCACTTGCACACACAAAAATAACCTCAAAACAATTTTACATGCTCAGTTTTCCTCAGTCTGCCAACATAAAAGACTATGGGACATTTCAAAAAGCCATGCAATTATCCATTTCTGATTATTTTTAAAAAATACATCTAAAATAAATGGTCACATCTATTTATAGACCACGTGGCACGGACTGATTACCACAAATACATCTTGCATGATACGACAAAAGCTTTTTATACTCTGAATTGATTTTCTCCAGCTGTGGCATTAGGTGGCACACAGTTGTGTCCACAAATGCAAGATACTTGGCTAATAATTGAAGCCACTTGAGAGTGTCAGAACGGTCATTATCTTCTCATACCATGTATGTTGTGTGTCCAACATAACCTGCATATATGACAACTAGTGTGTGATCAGAGGAGCCTTTTTTCCAGCTCTGATCATGTTGATTTTATGACAACACTTCAGAACACGTCTATCTTAGGGAAAAGGCTGAGAGGTGAAGAGAACAGAGTGTGTGGGAAGGCTTTTGAAATGATGAGCTCTGTCTCAAATCTGTAACTCGATTGTTTTCATTCAGGTACTGCACGTCGCCGCAAACTCTCTGCTTTTCTGGAATGAGACCTTGGCCTCCAGCTAATCGCAGAGCACCATACAGATCTCCTTTTTTTCCCAAAGGTTTACCGATTTGAAACCCCTGCATTTAGAGAAGGGCAACGCAGGCGTGGGATCGATCGATGAGCACCGGCAGGCAGGGAGTGAGGCTCCCGGCCCACATCGCCTGCAGCGTCTGCGCTCAGACTGCCCCGTGTGTGGCAGCCTGCTGAGCCAGCGCCGCGCCTGAGCCAAGGGAAAGGTCAGGAGGACTCGGAGACGGCAAGCTGGGGCCCAGGAACATCGATCACGCGTTACAGTAATAGGGCTGGGGGTGGTGAAGGACACCAATTCCCTTTCCACTCCTACTTCAGACCTGAACTCGGGTCCTCCTAAGGCCACACCATCGAATGAGGTGGCTTCAGCGAAACCCTAGAGCAGACATTAATCAGCTCGAGCCACAGCATCCTCAAATATTTCAGCGGCATTCATGGGACCAAGACGGAATTTAAGGGCAGGAACAACTGGGGTCCGAAGAACACAATGGTCTAAAAATAAGGGAACAGGCCTTTACTGCTGTCGGCGCCACTGAACTGGCCGAAAGATCATGTGAAAAATACCGCCGCAGCTTTTAAATGGATTACAACGAACTCGGCACTCTGTCTAGCAAGACACAGATTTTAAAAAATATACTTCAATTAGAAAAGAAATACAGATGGCACTTCATCTTCATAAGCACACATTAAAACGTACAAATCATTTTTACATAATCTTAATATGTGAAAATTAGCTATGGGTTCCATGAGAGAATGAAATACATAAATATTTTACCACTACAGGCTGTATTACAACGATTGAATGTGATTTACAGCCCTTTAACAGTTGTTAATAGGATTCCAGCAAGCTGTAAAGCCTGCCTGCTCCACTGAGAGGTCTGAACTCCTGCACAGTGCTCTCCCAGGAGGACTATGACAGGAGTGACTCAACACTACTAAAAGCATCAAACTGAGGACACAACACAGAACAGAGGTTTAACACAACAAGGCCCAGCAGAAAGATTACTAGTCCGATGTGAAATTAAACCTGCAGAAAAAAGAGACATCCCTCATGCCAAGACGTTAAAAAACAAAAAGTTGTTTTGAAATAACAGATACACTGACATGATTCCAATATGTATTTCAAAACTCAGCATTTTGAAATATGCATTTACCATACATGGTCTTGATACTACAAAGATTTAATGTTGTAATGTAGCAATAGCTGAGCATTGCAACTGTTGCAAAAAACAGGAAAGTATTTTTCACATGCTTCAACGCTATCAGAATATTTGATTATTATGATAATAATAAACATTCTTACACCTAGAAGGGAAGTAAAATCATCAATCAAAGACTTTTCTCTCTTTGGGGTAGAGAAAGAATCAAATTCCTGATCCCTTAACACACGATTAGTCTAGGTTATGGATGAAATCAGACAATTTGCTGCAACACATAAGCAAATACGCCATGATAATTGGCATAAGGCACTAGGATTTTATAAAAATCTCTTAAAACCTACTGGACCAGTGGAGGACAAAAGGCCCACAGTGAGTAGCAGCAAGTGATCAGGCAAGTAATTCTGGAGATAAGGTTTGAGAGCAAACCTGCAAAAAAATAAAAAACTGAAGCAGATCTGAGATGTCATTCTTAAAGACACAACCAAAACAAGTCAAGAAGAATTCTTAAAGTGGAAATTTTAAATCAGGCGGTTTCACACAACTGTGCGCATTTCCACTTTAAGAATTCTTCTGCCATGTAACAATAAATATCAAGCCAGTTTCACTTGTAAAAATCAGCACCAGAAATATGGCTCAGTATCTGTCATTCTCCTCTTCATGGGATATTATAGAATCAGGAATAAACATACTTCACAAGATAACAGTGTGGGAATAAATGTGAAAAGTTATATTTGGTATACTGCCTGCTTTCCTAGCTATGTAAGTGTTAATTTCTACACCGTCTAGGTACTGTACACAATTAATGACTTCCTACAGTCATTGTACGTAGAGAGGCACACAGTGACAGAGGAGATAAGTGTACGGAGTAAAAGGTTTCATGATCCTCTCATTAGATGAATCTGCAAAAGTGACATTTCCAATGAACATTTCATTTACTGTACTTTCAACCCAAAACCTTCTTGCAAAGTGGAGAAAATCAAGAGACAGTCTAAAAAAAAAACTAATTTTGTTCCTTGAGCAGAAAAACAAATAAATCAAAATGTAATCTGAAAGCTGTTAGACTTCACCAACATGCAGCACTTTGTTGTGGCCCATAAGCAGTTCCTGAAATGATGAGCCTTTATTTGTTGAGGTCTGATTTTTAAAGTAAACTCAAATGTCTCACTGATCAAAGTTAGTAGCTGTGCAAAGACTAACTGCTGCTGCAAGTAAGGTTTGTATACTGTTTCTTCATCACCAATGTCACTGAGAAACTGGAAAAAAGCATGGTGCAGTTTGTGCATGAGGCATTTCAGAACTGATTGGAAATACTGCTTGGCTGTTGTTTCTTGCACTAGTGAGTGAGCTGTAGAAAGCCCTGGAAAGGTTAATACTTTTATATTCGTTTTGTACTTTACCTCTGCACTAATTATTTCGTTGAAGAGCTGCTGAAACTGTCATACAGTGGCCAGTGGTCGCCTTACAACATGACCAGAGGCGTACCCACGACCAGCAATCTGAGGCTGCCCATCAGGGGTGAGATCTACCTTAAACTAGCATTGTAGCTGACTGAAAATAAGGATCTACGATAAAAGTGCTTAGAGCTCATGTTAGGAATAGTAAGATAACCTGATACACGCTAATTAATTATACTATACACACTAATAAGTTAGAGAAACATACTGTAGCTACAGTGCCTTGCGAAAGTATTCGGCCCCCTTGAACTTT